TTTTGTTCTTTTCCTGCATACACTTAACTTTTGCCCCAGGGGATTGCCTTCTGCTCCAGTTGTAGAGGGTGGGTATCATGAAAGGAGAAATGATAAAAGTTAGGAGACCTGCCTTTTTTTTTTTTACCCCAGCGGTGGACATGACTGTTGAGATGCATGCTGTTGAAATAGATGAACCTGTGTATTTATGTGCATCCCTAACCCCTGACAGGGTGTTACATGCACTATTCTGAACCTTGCCCTTTTTCTTCTATGGATCCTACCTCTTTACTAACAAATCATGGCTTTCTGTCCTTGTCCACATGGTTAAGTTTCTACCATCTCCTAAGGCCTGGCTCAGATGTTGCCTTGTAGGGAAAGTCTTTTTTGGTCTTTGCTTTTTTCCTGTTAACTTCTCTGTAGTATTTTTAAAAAGACCTCTATGAGGGAGCATTTGTCACATTATTTACAGTGATTCTTTATGTGTCTGATCCCTCAAGAGATTGTGATCTTTATGAAGAACTACGTTTTATCCATATTTATTTTCACAGTAGCCAGGTGCAGTGGCAGTAATTTTCGATTTAGTGAATATCAGAAAACTTAATCCATCTCATTTTTCCAGGGGAAAGCTGATCTTTATATTCTTAATCTGATCTTCATTCACTTACATGACTTATTACTTGGTATTCCAAGTGGAATTTTAGGTGTCCATAGAGATAGGGGAGAATTATTTTGATGACTGTAGATAACTTTCTTCAAAAAATGTTTTATAGATTTCCATCTAAAACCTCATAAGAGAACTGGGGAGCACGTTTGTTTTTCAGGCAGTATACTATTTTATTTTCATTTTTTTTTTAAAAGATTTTATTCATTTATTTGACAGAGAGAGACACAGAGAGAGAGGGAACACAAGCAGGGGGAGTGGGAGAGGGAGAAGCAGGCTCCCCGCAGAGCAGGGAGCCTGATGCGGGACTCGATCCCAGGACCCTGGGATCATGACCTGAGCCGAAGGCAGTCGCTTAACCAACTGAGCCACCCAGGCGCCCAGCATACTATTTTATTTAAAGAGCTTAAAATGTGTTTGGGAAAAAATGTTTTTTAATTTGCTGACTTACGGTATTAATGTGATCTGTCTTTATATTAAAATATAATTTATAATAAAAGTAATATATGCTTATTAATGACCATGGAGGAAAAAATACATAAGTGTAAGAATAAAATAAAATCTGTAGTTCCTCCTCTCAGAGGTTAAAATGTTTGTTAGCATTATGGTGCATGTCATTCTTGTCTTTTTTTTTTTTTTTTTAAGATTTTGCTTTTAAGTAATCGCTGCTCCCAACCTGGGGCTCAAACTTAACAACCCCAAGAGCAGGAGTCACATGCAACTGAGCATATTCTTGTATTTTTCTTTTTGTGGGTTTTTTTGTTTGTTTTGTTTTCCATGGTAGTTGATAATTTATTGTTTTATTGTTTGGTATTGAAGTAACTTTAGTCTTCATACGGCATAGTTCTGGAGAAATGTATCATTTAAGGGCGCCTGGGTGGCTCAGATGGTTAAGCGTCTGCCTTCAGCTCAGGTCATGATCTCAGGGTCCTGGGATCGAGCCCCGCATCGGGCTCCCTGCTTGGCGGGGAGCCTGCTTCTCCCTCTCCCTCTGCTGTTCCTCCTGCTTGTGCTCTCTCGCTCTTTCAAATAAATAAATAAAATCTTAAAAAAAAAAAAAAAAGAAATGTATCATTTAAGACCTCTGTAGATCACATCTAGAGGGTTTATGTTGTGTTACCATAGCAAATCAGAAATACTTCCAAAATATTACCAGCTTTGTTTTTGAGGCCACTAAATTTTGCATGGGTTTTTTAAGATTTTATTTATTTGACAGAGAGACAGTGAGAGAGGGAAAACAAGCAGGGGGAGTGGGAGAGTTGGAGAAGCAGGCTTCCCGCTGAGCAGGGAACCCGATGCCGGGCTTGATCCCAGGACCCTGGGATCATGACCTGAGCCAAAGGCAGACGTTTAACGACTGAGCCACCCAGGCGCCCCTAAATTTTGTGTTTTGCTTTGGTTTTATTTCACTCCCACCATGGGATTTGGTGTTTGTGAAATGAGTAGAGAGAAACAAAGCTACTTTGATAGGCACTAGCTAGGCACGTAGGCTCACTCGTCTGCCAGGTGACCTGCTTTCGTACACAGTCCATGATTCAGATTCATGCCTAAGGAAGATTGCCAATTGTTACATGTGATGACCTTTAGGAGTGTTGAAACTGATGAAACATTAAAATTTTTCAAATGCCAATGATGAGAGCTGGAATGGTTTGTACAATATTTATATACTCCGTAATTGCCAGTAGTAGGTGTGTTGGAAATGTTGTTTTTTAAAGTTTGATATAATTTAGAATTAATGAATCTTTATACTGAAGAACCTATGTGTTGTACTTAGGGGGAGAAAAGATGTAGTCAAAAGGGTTTAAAAAAAATAAATATAGTCCTGGGTTATATTGAATAGAGGGTATAAATCAAAGACAACTAAAAACCCATTGACAGGGAGCCCATGTTTCCCTGCTCCCTGCCTGGGGTCTGGTGATTGGCAGATGGTAAAGCATTAAAAAAAAAAAAAAAATAGGTTTAATTCTATCAATTTGAGCTGCTCCAGTTTAACATTTGGAAAATTTTGCTTACTTGTTTGTAATGACCACAGAGTAGGAAAATGCATTTTATGTGCGTAAAACTCCATGGCAGCTTTCTGGTATCAGTGGAAGGAAATTTTGAGACCTTGGGTATCTGAAAGTGCACGGGAATAAGTAATTTTGGGAAGTCATTTTCAGATCTAGGAAGATTTTTCTTTTTATTGGAGGAGGATATTCAGTTGTGGAAACACAACCAGCACACATGTAGGTTTGAGCACACTGACTCAGCTAACCCACTTCCTGGTTATGGTGCATTAGTTTCTTGGTAGCGTATACCTTTTTAATTTACAGATATGCAGACATATTCTCTTTCTGTCTTCACTTTTGTGGCATAATGGGCAAGAGGACAGGCTTTGTAGCCTTCCAGATAATGGGTTTGTATTGAGGCTTTGACCCTTAACATAGCTTGGACAAGTTGCTTGACCTCTTAAGTTTCATTTTCTCATCTGTAAAATATAAATGATAATAGGGCTGTTTGAACATTCAGTGAGATATTGTATGTACCTAGCACAGTGCCTGCTGAGTAACAAAAGCTCAATAACATGAGCTTTTAATAAGCACATTCTTATTCCTTCCTGAGCAGCCTTCATTTTTGCTACATCTTCTGGCCGGTTTTCTCTTCAAAACCACCTCCTTGGCTTCTTATTGACTGGAGGGCATTTCCTTGGCCTCTTGCCCTGATTTAATGCTACTTTGAGGATCCCTTTTGACAGATTCTCTTGACAAACCTTTGTTCATTTGCTTGCCATTTCATTTATCCAAAGATTACGTGGAGTGATTAAGAGCACTCTGGGCCTTATTGCCTTAGTCCCAATGCCACTTCTATAACTTCAAAGCTGTGAGATCTTGCTAGTTAATTAACCTAACAATTTTCTTGTCTGTGAAATGAACAATAATGATACCTACCTCATAGTTTGGATGTGAGGTCATTACACGAAATAACATACATAAGATGTTTAAATTGTGCAGAAGAAATGCTAGCTGTTATTATGAGCCAGACTGTTGGTTGATGTTTATTTTATCTAGTCTCCTCATCAGTGACTTTCATATGTGTATAGCACTTTTGATGTTTATTATATAAAATAAATCTCACTTATACAAGGCACCCCAACACAAAATTATTGGTATAATAACAGTAACAATGTAAAGAATGGGGCGCCTGGGTGGCTAAGTCGGTTAAGCATCTGCCTTCGGCTCAGGTCATGATCCCAGGATCCTGGGATCAAGCCCTGTATCAGGCTCCCTGCTCAGTGGGGGGCCTGCTTCTCCCTCTCCCTCTGCCTGCTGCTCCCCCCGCTTGTGCTCTCTCTCTCTCTCAGTGTCAAATAAATAAATAAAATCTTAAAAAAGTCATGTTAAGTGTTATATTAAATACACATACGTATGTGAGATATGCATATATGATGTTCATAGGTTTTGTTAGGGGAGGTGGTGAATGCAACTCTATGTTATGAGAATTATGTGGTGCTGTGCTTGGAGCTTAGGGCACTTTTTAAAAAAAATTATTTGAATGAATGACAGCTTCAGTGTGATATGAACACTTAATATTTATTATTTCCCAAGTTGCTGGCATTTGATGGCCTTATTATTTTTTTAAGTAGTGTCCATGCCCAGCGTGGAGCCCAGTGCAAGGCTTGAACTCACAAACCTGAGATCAAGACCTGAGCTGAGATCAGGAGTTGGCTGCTTAACTAACTGAGCCACCCAGGCACTCCTCAATGGCCTTATATTCTGATTTGAATCTAAGGGCCATTCAGGGACTAAATAATACTTGCATTGTCATACTTTTTTTAAAAAAAATGTATTAATGCAATTCTTTCTGTGTGCTACTCTGTTGTTCTAAGTGATACTGAGTTCTTGTTTTTGTATGCCATTTTAGGCACAGTTTGTTATTTGCATATCTTTTTTGATTTAAGGAGTGGAAAAGTTACCATTGGATTGAGAACAGGGTTTGCCAAATTATCTGTGGAATTAGTTATGTACTATTAAGGTGGGCATTCTATGAATTCTCTTCCATCCCCTTTGCCTTATATGTGGCCTATAAGAATCTGCTGTAATTGTGTCATTACTCGTTAGTACCCAATGGGCTGAATTCAACACGAACTTGTAGTGAATATAACTGTACATGCATAAAGTTCTGAATGAGCTGAAAGAGTTGTGAAAGTCAAGTAAATGAAGTAGATTCAACAGAATTCTTTCCATAATCATAGAAATTAATTATGAGGGCATTTGAGTTAGTATCTACTAAATGCATAAAGTATTTTAGCAGAGTTAACTTTAGTATCCATATGGTGATTAGTTGGTCACATATTTTTGCTGTTTTTTGTCTTTTTTGTGTGTTTTTGGAATGGTTCATGAATTTGCGTGTCATCCTTGTGCAGGGGCCATGCTAGTCCTCTCTGTATTGTTCCACTTTTTCATATATGTGCTGCTGAAGTGAGCACTGCATGTTTCTTGAACATTTCCTATTATTATCCTAAAACATACAACTTACAGGAGGTATGGTTGCTTAGGATCACAAAGAATATTTCATTTAAGTGGTTCTTGAACTCTCTGCATCATTGGAGTCTATTTTGCACAAATAGTAACAATTCAGTGTGGTAAGTTTAGAAGGCTACTGGAAAGTAGAAAGCAACTGTGAAGAATCCATAAGAATCATAGATATTTTGTTTCTAAGAAAAAAAATGTAAGGACTAGCAGAGGTGAGAAGAAATATAAAAAAGATCATCCATTTGTAATTCAGCAAAATAGCTTGGTGGTTAGAAATAGGGCTTTGAAGTCCGGTAGTCTTGACATTTAAGTCCTGTTCTGCCACTTACTTCCCCAGGACCAGAATGACTTAACCTCTCCACACCTCAGGCTCCCCATATGTAAACTGGGGATAGACATACAACTATCAGAGTAGGTTGTGTGAGGATTATATGAGGTTATATGTAGTAAATGCTCAACACAGTGTCTGGCACGTAGTAAACTCTGACTAGACAAGTTGTAAAGTATCCACAAACAGGGAGTTGTTACCAATGTCTTGTGTCATCTTCTAAAACAATCATACTGCTGGAAAAGCAGCTAAGGTATAATCCTGAGTTTGCCAGCAACTGTAGGCGGATCTAAGTGAGTAAAATGACTCATAGCTTGTCTTGGTGCTAAGTATCTGTTGTTGGCAATTTTGTCATTCAACCCTGCCCCCAAATGTGGGAGTTGCACTCATATTCAACAGCTAGTAATTATGCTTCTCATCAGTAGTAATGGTATTTAAATATTGTTACATCACTCCGTATCCTTTTTCTCTGAATCACCTTATACATAAGCGTAGGAGTTTCTAGTCTGATTTGGGGAGTTCTGGGGAACCAACAGTGATACTATTTCTTCTCTTTGAGAAGTAAGACACAAGAGACTGACAGATGGAGATCAAAATGTCTCCTCTATTGGCTGATCTGAGGACATGACATTAGATCTGAAGTGAAAAGGGCTTATTAGCCCATCTTGACTTAGACCGACCCACTGGGTGACTAGCATAGCCGAGCAACTGCAGGCCTCCCCTCAGGACAGGTGCCTTCATGCATGGAGAGTAGACCAGAGGGCATGCACCCAGAGTGGTGAGAGAGAGAGCAGGGAGCTCAACCAAGCCAACCTCAAAAGTCCTGCCCCCATAAGAGGAATGAGGGAAGAGTGGGGGGAGAGTTCTGGAGTGTTCCTTTAGCTGAAGTGTCTCCACATGGACTTGAGGCATGATGGTAGCACACTCAGCCAAGTGAACAGGACCTTCCTGTCAAGAAAGTGAGACTGTGATGTTCTGTGAGTAGATTGGGGAGCTAGATCAAGGAAGATGTGAGTAGAGGAGTAGACTGGAACACAAACACACACAAGTCTCTGGTTTTCTTCACCTTTCAAGAGGCTCCTCCTTTATCTGTCTGTCTATCTGTTGATAGATCGATCTGTCCCCTTCCTTCCTTTCCTTCTTTCCTTCTTCCTTAATGGATATGAAGGACTTGTAAGTAAACAGAAGTGCTAATTAGAAATAAATTGTGACTTCTCATATCTGAATTTTACAGTCTTAATAAAATTTTTAATGCTACCTTGAAATAGAATAAAAAAACAAAGCTGGTAATCTTTAGTAAAGGTATATTTTTGCAGTGAAATTATATCTGGATAATAGTTTAAAATCTAATTGTTGGGGCACCTGGGTTAATCAGTTGAGCGTCCGACTCTTGGTTTTGGCTCAGGTCATGATCAGGGTTATGGGATCGAGCTCTGCCGCTGTCAGGCTCTGCATTCAGCATGGAGCCTGCTTAAGAGATTCTCTCTCTCCCTCTCCCTCCCCTTCAGCTCCTCCCCTGGCCTGCTAACTGCCAACTAAATAAAGTAAAAATCTAATTGTTAAAAATGAATTGATATATTAAGTGTTTAGCTGGTTGAATAGTTCACAATAGTAATTAATTTTGAAGAGTTATTTTTATCTTTTTAAGAAATATTTGGTGAGTATCTGCCCTGTGTTAGGCACTGTGATAGATACTAGCAATACCAAGATGAATGAGATAACTGTCTTTTGTTCATGGAGCTTACAGTTAAATAGACATGCCAATAAGTATATTCAATAAGGTATTATGGGTACCAGTTTGGAAGTACGCTAGAACAAAAGAAGCAGGCCAGTTCTCCCTTATGCCAATGGGCATTGATAAGGTGGGTCCACTAGAAGCAGGCTGTAATTCATGATTGAATTTGAGAAAAAATGATCTTCTCAATTATAACAAATCTTTGTTAGTAATTGTTTTTAGGACTTTGAAAGTTATTTTGTTTCTCATCTTTCTAGAAAGTAGGAAGCAAGTAATAGAAGCCTACCCAGGAATTATTAAGACTATGATTTTAAGTATCTTTTTAGTTATGGAAATATTAAATACCTCGCTAATACCGGGTGCTCTTTGTTTGAAATATTAGAGCTGTGTCCTGTTTTGAAGGGTCTTAAAGTATATGCTTACAAACAAAGTAACAAACAGCCAACCTATCAGTTATAAAATGTTGATCTTTTTATTTGTATAAGGAAGACCCAGACCTTAAGAATTGTGGGGGAGACTGTGAAAGGGAGCTTGAGATGGCAGTTGGGAAACTGATTGGAAGAGAAGTCATTTGAGCATTAGCTTTACAAAGGTACTCACAAGAGAAGGCCAATGGGTACCCCTTGCTTTGGCCTGTATAGCGCTATAGGTCTGTACAGGTCCCCTGGATCACTGTGGAGGAAAGAGGGAGATCAAGCCAGGAGAACTTTGCTCCCTCTCTCCTCAACCTCACCTACCTGCCTTGCTGGGCAGTTGGGCTTCTATATAAGAATTTGAAGAAATGTGTTCTGCAAATTTAACGAAAAATTTAAAAACTATTCATTTAAAGCATGATATAGTAGAAAATATTGATACCATGCTGGTAGTGCTATAATAGAAGTATTTTGAGTGGAAAGATAAAAATCATTTACACTGATAATTAAAGTAAAAGCTAAAGTTGAAGAGTATTTAAGCTTATTTATTTTGAATGTGTTTTATGGTATCAGACAATGCATATTAAACCAGAGAAATATGAAGCTATTGTATGGATACTTGTGTGGCTGTTTTGAGAGCAAATCTGGGCATTTCTGAAGACTTTGGGTTATGGCATTGATTCTTTCATGTATTTAGCTTCTAGCCTTTGGCTGTCCCTTCCTTGATCACGATTATTTATAGTAGTTTTATAATTGCAGCTATGACACAAATCTTTTGTTGTCTTATTCCCAGTGAACATGAGAAAGAGAGAAGGAAGCCAATGACTTTTCTAAGATTCTTAACTCTAGTGGAGGGAGGAAGAAGGAGAGAAGAAGGTTTTGGAGGTTGTACAGTTTTTGATAAGACATTGTTTAATATGGAATTGAGTAAGTTATGAGAGATGGAAGTGGGACCTGGCCGGAGTGCAAAGTAATGTTGCATTATAGATGACCTCCCAGTGGAGGGAGTAGAAGGGACATGAGGAGACACTGGGTTAGTTCTCACAGGACCGGCAGGTGGTCGGTATCCCACGGGATCCTGGCATGCTGTTTCAGAATAAGCTTTCTCTGTGGGGGGAGGGCGGGTATTTGGAACTTGTAGGTGCCCGCACTTAATGTCATCTTACACAGAATGACCAGTTATAGTAAGTGGTATTTCAGGTTCTCTTGTGACTAGTGCATCTTCCTTTATTTTGTTTTTAGTTATGTTTTAGTGTTAATGTGCTCACCTCTGCTTATTCCTCCTTCGAGTATTCCTTCCAGCCTTGGATCTAGAGCATGACAAAATTTAGCAATGGTGCCTATTAAGATTTTACCATGAAAGATTTTAGCATATTTTTTTTTTTTTAAAGATTTATTTATTTGAGAGAGAGAGAATGAGAGACAGAGAGCATGAGAGGGAGGAGGGTCAGAGGGAGAAGCAGACTCCCTGCCGAGCAGGGAGCCCGATGTGGGACTCGATCCCGGGACTCCAGGATCATGACCTGAGCTGAAGGCAGTCGCTTAACCAACTGAGCCACCCAGGCGCCCCGATTTTACCATATTTTTGATATGTCTTAGTTCACAGCATGCTAAGAAAGTGATCACAAATAACTGAAACCATTGCGTAGGCACCCTTGGTGCAGAGGGCCTCTTTTGGTTGAAAGATGTGGTGGAATGAAGGAACTCAGATCATGGACAAGAATAACTTATTCAAATTATTTCAAGAAAAAAGAGCATCCTTTGTATTGAGCAGGAAGTGAAAGCCACTGGGAACTGAAGCATGAAGCAGCTTCAGGGAGAGGTCCTTCTGTCTCTTTTTTTAGACTGAACTGTCTCTGCGATGGTGACTCGCTTTGCTCTGCACATCAGGTACTGTTTTCCTCTCTGCAACAGTTGCTTTTTCTCAGCTTCCTGGTAGTTTCTGCTTCCTCTGTTTTTCTGCTCGCCTTTGGTCACCACTGCCTCGTAAGCTCTTTACCTCATGATGTTTCATCTTTAACTCCCATTAAAAATGGCCTCTCATTTTATCCTAGTTCACATTCCTTAGAGAAGACTGGTCGAATAGATTACATTAACGCATTAGGAAGCTTTATAGCTGTGGAAAGGTTGAGGTAGATCTGTTGAAGTATTTGAGCCAGCTGAACTCTGTGTTCCGTGACAGTGTGCTGTACCTTGCTAATTAGCCACCACAGTGGGGGTAGTGGCATTCTGGAAGTTGGGAGATGCCACAAACCAGGTCACTGAGCCCTCACTTCTTCCCTCTAAGAATCGGTTGCTAAGCCCTTATTGGCACACCACTGGGTAGATCTATAGGTGTTGATATGCACAATCTCCAAGATGTACTGTTAAATGAAAAAGAGTAAAGTGTAGAATTATTTATAGAACAATTCTAGTTTTTGACTAGAAAAGGGAAATTGACGTCTGTGTGCATGCCTGTGGGTACATGCAGGTTCCTGTATAGTGCAGAGCATGTTTGTCACAGGTCACAGAAGCTGCTTTTAAGAAGGCGGCTTAGGTTTGGAGTGGGGTCTGTGTGTGCAGATCAGAGTTTGGTTTTGGACACTTTGTCTGCAGTTGCTTGTGAAGGTTAAAAGTTCATAAAATTCTTATGTAATCAGAATCATGTCAGTATCATATAATCATAATAATGTCAGTATCATTTACTTCAATCTCAAATATTACGATGTACATAGGAAGGAAGTAAAATCCTACTGTTGAAAGTGTCGAGGTCACATGAATTCATTTCTCCTATTTGCCAGTCCAGTTCAAATGTACAAATGCCTTTTGTACATTTCTTTATATTTGACTGTGACTTTTAGCACTTTCTGCTTTGCTTGTTCTAAGATTTCTAACAGTCCTTTCACCCTCTTTTTGGAGTCTTTCATGTATAAGCTTTTACCGTATCACTAATAATACCCACTTTCTTCCTGAAGACACCTTGTATTCCCTATTCTAATTTAGGCTGGCTGCTCTCTAGGCAGTTGCACAGTGGCATCTGGAAATGTCTAATTTTAGCCTCCTGAGATTTCATGGGTCCTGTGTCTGACCCTCTTTTTGATTCTGTTAAAGAAAATATTATTCTGGCACTTGTTAAAACAACAAAGAAGACTTTGTTCAGGACGATTGCAGTTAGGGTCAAGACGGTCAGCAATAGTGGAGAGAGATCGGGCTCCCCTCCAAACGGTAAGGACAAGTAGGGGTAATACAGGCAGAGTAAAGGATTCAGCGGGTAGAGGTGACATCAAGGGTACCAGGGTCCTTGCTACACTGACTGAACAGGATTCTGGGTAAAGGCATGCCAGGGTGACCAGCTATCAGGGTGTGGGGGGACTCCTGCTACAGCTAGGCTAGGCAGGCTGGAGACAGGATGAGGCCTCGTCAGGAAGAGGGTTTGGAGGGGCCTGACTGAAGTTTGAAAAAGGAGACAGTCTCTGTCCATTCTTTCTGTTGTTGTCTTGCTTTTCTGTAGTGTATTCTGAAATTCTTTTTAAAAGAAACATTGCATAGGCAGTGAACTTTGAATCATTGTATTGGTTTCCTATCACTGCTGCAACAAATGACCACAAACTTGGTGTCTTAAAACAACATAGATTTATTCTGTTACAGTTCTGGAGGCTAGAGTCTGAAGTCAGTTTCACTGGGCCAAAGACAAGGTGTCAGCCTGGCTGGTTCCTTCTGGAGCCATCAGGGAAGAATCCGTTCCCTAGTCTGTTCTAACTTCTGGAGACCGCCTGCCTTCTCTGGCTAGTGACCCCTTCCTTTCTCACAACACTGCAACCTCTTGCTTCCATCGTCACACCTTCTTGTCTCCCTTTTATGTGGTGCCTTATGATTATGTTGGGCCTGTCTGCATGATCCAGAATAATCTCCCCATCTCAGGAGCCTTACTTAATTATGTCTGCAAATCCCTTTTGCCATATAAGGAACATTCACAGGTTCCAGAGATTAGGATGTGGACATCTTCTTGGGGGGGTGGTGGAGTTCATTCTTGAGCTCAGCACAACTCATAATGTCTAGAAATGTTTTTGGGGCGCCTGGGTGGCTCAGTCGTTAAGCGTCTGCCTTCGGCTCAGGTCATGATCCCAGGGTCCTGGGATCGAGCCCCGCATCGGGCTCCCTGCTCCGCGGGAAGCCTGCTTCTCCCTCTCTCACTTCCCCTGCTTGTGTTCCCTCTCTCACTGTGTCTCTCTCTGTCAAATAAATAAATAAGTTAATTAAAAAAAAAAAAAAGAAGTTAGAAATGTTTTTATTTTTTCTTCATGCTTCATTGATAGTTGGGCTTGGTATAGAATTCTAAGTAAATGATAATTTTTTTCTCAGAACTTTGGAAACAGAGTTTCATATCTTTTAGCTGGTAAGCAGTTTGGTATCAGTCTGATTCTCATTCCTTGGTGTATGACTTGAAATTTTTCCCTCTCCCTAAGCTTCTGCAATCTTTTGCTCATATTAAATATTACAGATGGCTTAAGCTGAGTGTAAACTTAATGCATTAGTGTCCAGTTAAGTGTAATTAATGTTCACAAGCATGCCTCTAACATGGCTATTACATGCAAAGTGGTTTCCAAATTGTAGGTCCTTGACCATTTGAAAGAAAGAAGGAAGCATTGAAGGGAAGTAAGAAAAAATAAATAGAATGGAATAGAAAATTTCATAGTGCCATCCTACAGTAGTTATACACATTGTTTCACAAAACATTTGTTTCAGTTGTATATGTGTGGTGTGTTAAAACTTTCCCAAACCTTCCAAAATTTAGCATGTATTCACTTAGTGTCTGAAACAGAGGCTGAGTTTTCACATTAAAAATTATGTTAAGACGTAAAATGTACTTGAGGAGAACATTCCTACTTAGCTTTAGTTTAATGTTTTCAATAAAAATTGTCTTTGTTGCTTCATGACAAATTTTATTAAAAGTAGTAGGCATGTGGCTAATTTTGCAGTACAAGATGAAGGCATGTTATAAAGCTGCTTGTTTCAAGCTCCTGTTTGTTGTCAGATGGAATGCTGGGTGTAGGCTGGTATGGTTCATACTTGGGATCTAGCCTGAAAGACATGTTTTTACTCTCAACAAACATCATCTTTGTTTGAATATCTGTAGTCTGTGTAACCACAGAAAGGTCTTTTCTTCTCCCCTAGAAACGTTTTCTTTCTTGTGCTTGTTTCACAAATAGTTTAAAGTAGAGCTGCCTTCCACTTTTCTGTTTCAGTTTGTTGTAAGAATGTGTGAGGCACCACCAAACACTCCTGGTGTGCTTGAGAACTGTAAAATAATAATGAAATCTTGGAGTAGATAAGTTTACTTTATGAGGACTGAAGCTACCGTTAATTCCCAAGGCCAGACCAATTGTCTAACAAAGGGTAAAGTACTTCCTAAATTGGAAGAGTTGTTTTTTTTTTTTTTTAAAGATTTTATTTATTTGACAGAGAGAGATACAGCGAAAGAGGGAACACAAGCAGCGGGAATGGGAGAGGGAGAAGCAGGCTTCCCGCGGAGCAGGGAGCCCGATGCGGGGCTCGATCCCAGGATCCTGGGATCATGACCTGAGCCGAAGGCAGACGCTTAACGACTGAGCCACCCAGGCGCCCCTGGAAGAGTTGATTTATATATAGTAATTATCTGTCAGAATGTACAGTAAGAAAAGTGTTGTCAGTTTTGTTTTAGTGGATTTGAAATTTACTAACTTTGACTGACTTGTTCATTACAATTTGGGATTAATTGAATGATACTAAGCTACAATGCCTGCTTTTAAAAAATGTCATTCAGGAGGATGCTTGCTTCTTAAAAGTTCTTGTGTTTAAAGGGAATTAGAGGTCTTCTTAAAATGTTATAGTTGTCAGTTTTTTAAATGCTTCATAAGATGCGGTAGCAGTCATTATCTTCCATAAATTTGTGCCCAGGTATGTTTTCCTGTATACTTGAGTATTTAATGTCTTTTGATTTTTACTGCTTCAAATATGCCTTTTTTACTTTGGAACGTTGTTACGTTAGATGTGAAGTCAATAAAAATAATTTGATTTAATTTGGCTTGAGTAATGTAATAGAGATTTTTAAAATTTAATAATGACATGTGATGTAAGTACTGAGGAACACAACTGTCACTGTTTAATAGGTGCCTGGAACTTTGTGCACACTTGAGCACAGACACAAGACAGCTGTTGATATCCCTTTGTGGTCAGTGTTTTAGGGCAGATTCTTTGTTCTTGGAATGGAATTTCTAAATAAGCACTCACAATGAAACCAAAGGGAGGGTTCTAGTGTAATTCTTAATAAACTTCTCAACTCTAGATCAGACAGTGTGAAACAAAATATAACTATAGTGAATGCTGTATAGGGATATTACTTCTTACTCTAAAGATGATTGCCTCACAATGTAGATTACTAAATAATGTCTCTACTACTCCCTGTTGGAAAGAATTGGCATTTAGATTTAGTCTCTTCAGAGAAGCAGGTTTGGCTATATTTTATAAAATCAGTCTGACTTCAAATTCATGCTTTTTTAAGAACACATTTGTCAACATTACAGAATTTTCTCTCCACAGGGAAATGCAATGATAAGAAATTTCTAAGGGAACTTAAAGATTTAGAACTTACTTTATTTGATTTGGAGGACTACTCTAATCATACTAAAGTACATGATCTTTCATAAAATTAAGATAGAGTTTCAATCAATTCCAGTATGACCTCTATTAAATACTTAGATTTTCCTTTCTGGAAATCTGTAGACTATAGAGATGAGCTGTGGAAAGCTTTCTATCTTATAATTCACCACAATGATGCTTTCTTGGGATACTTTGCATCTTCTCAACTCCATACTGTTTCCAGTTCTTGCCTTTATATGTTTAAACTTGTCATTGTTAAGTAGGAAATAGGGTTGAGACTCCTAGGACGGGTAGCAGGAATGAAGGTCTGATACAGAATATATTCAAAGAACACACTCATGCATTGAATTTGATCACCATAGATACTCACGCTTAGTTGTTCTGATAATGGAAGTGGAATTTAATAAGTAGTCAGCTTTCTTAGTTCTAGTTTAATTTCTATTAATTTGCTTTCCCCCTTTGTAGAAGTGGGAGTGTAGTGTTGTGAAGCTGGGCAACAGAAGGGGGAAAAGGTATTGACAGAGTTCTGTAAGTCTAGAATAGTAGGGTAATGAATATATAATTGAGTTGATTATCCTAGACTTCTGATTACATTAGTTCATTGTGAAAATCTAAACAACTAATCTGCATTTTTGTTAATTTTATTGAACCATTCCATTATTTATTCACTTTTCCCCCAAAGGATAGCATATTGACACTTTGTAGTCTGAGAAAAGCAGTGACATAAACACTTTTTCCTCAAATAAATGTTTAAAAATTTACAAATTCCCATTTTTACCAATTTTTACTATTATATTGATGACTTCATTGGCCTAAATCCCTAGAGGTAGAATTGTTGGGGTATGCCCATTTTTAAGATTCTGCAGACATATTATTAAATTGCTTTCCACAAAGATTTTTATACACTAATAAGTCACCCCTCCGAGTAAGCTACTGCAGATTTCCCCATGCTATTGTCAACATTGAGTAACATCAATCCATTTTGTGGTCAGTCTAAGATAAGTACAAAGATATTTTAAAACTTGTATTTCTAATACGTTTGTTTTTTTTTTTTTTTTACCCATGCCTTGGCTTTTAAATTTAGATTTTATTTTTATCAGAGCTATACTTGGTTTAAAGATTCAGCAGTCTGTACAGCTTATTTTGAAAAATAGCTGACTGCCATACTCCTCCCTCCTCACAGCCCACCCCACAGAAGTAACCACCTTCCACTCCCCAGGCTGCTTCGTTTCTGTTCTCTTCCATAGTGCTAGATGGCATGCCTGGATTGCCCCTTCCGCTTCTGCAGTTTCAGGCCGTATCTGCTGGTCTCCTGCTGTGGAGAGGATATGGTTTTCTTCCCTGCACCCAACCCCTTCCACACTCGTGCACATCCTTTCAATCTCAGGGAATTGACCCCTTTCGTCAGTATTCTGTGTTCAGCCCCACCCTTCCCGCTCCTCAGGAGCCACCATTTGCTGGGCCTTTGATGGAGGGGATTAGTGAGTTTCAAGAAGAATGGATATAAAATGTATATTCCATCTGGCATCTTTCCCTGGAGGTCCTTTCTTGTGTCTTTAGTAATCATTTTTATAAAGTAATCCTTAAAATTATTGGCCATAGAGTCAAGACTATCTGGATTTGAATTCCAGTTTTGCTCTTTATTAGTTTTGTGACCTTAGACAAGTTCACTAAAATCGCTAGGCTTCATTTTTTGGTCCATGTGATAGAATTCATATGATACCTATCTTAGGGTGTCGTTGTGAGAAATAAATGTGATAAGGCATGTAAAGTGCTTTTCACAGTATCTGCTGCCTGAAGATATCTTACTATCTGCCAGAGACTTACTGAGAACACAGATATGCTTCTGGCTGCTATTGTTACTCTTGTGAATTTCTTGCTCATGGCCTTTGCCCAGATTTCCAGTGGAATGCTTGTCTTTTTCTTCCTGTTAAGAGGTGCCTTTGATATAGCCTGTTACGGGTCTTTTGTTTTTCTTTACGGTACTTGTGATGTCTAATCATATGCATACTATTTCATGTTATGATCTCTACTGCTGTAGTCAGATTTGTGTTTTTCAAAGATACATGGTGGTAGTAAGAAAGAAGGGTATGTGTGTGCTGTAAGATGGAGATTATCATAGTAGTTGGGACAGTTGATGAGGGGGACCTCAGAGGCCAAATGAAGAAGTAATTCTTTTCATCATGTAGGAGAAATTTTTTTTTTTAACTCCTGAAGTATATCTTATACTGGTTTGTTTTGTGGACAAATTACCTCAGTTTGTAAAAGCCTTCTTCAATGTTCTTCTCATCGTACACCCAGGTGGATTTTATCTGAAAACTTAGAGCTTTCGGTTTGTTTCTACTTTAATACTTATTTCTCTGAAATTAGATCCAAAATTGATTCTCGAGGGATAAGATTTATCGTCTCCCCTACGTTAATGCTATGTTAACAAATTTGCTTTCTTTTAAATATCATGTATATTATTGAAATGGTAGATGCATTGATATTTCAACGTTGTAGTTACAGATACTTAACTCAGCCTTTTATTTGATTTTGCTGGTTTGTCCTTTTAGGCAATACCGATTTATTGTTTTATTTTTGTTTTGTCTTAGTTTTATAATTAATTAACTTTATGGTTCTTTAAAAAATGGTTCATCTAAATTTGATCTCTCCACAGATTCGGACCAGGATGTAGCACTCAAACTTGCCCAGGAGCGAGCTGAAATAGTTGCTAAGTATGACAGAGTAAGTATTCATATTTACCCTTTGAATAGGTTTTATTAGGAAAAAAACATATAAATAGAAATGGATTTGGTGTTTGGAGAGCTTAAATTAAATTACAGAAGCAGTTTGTTTACTTTATGTGACAATGGAAGTTGTCTTTTTTTCTCTGACTTCATCTCCAGATTTTCTCTCCCTCTTTCCCTCTGCTCCAGCCACTCTGATCTCTGCGGTTCTTGAAACACACCAGGCTTGCACCTACCTCTGGGCCTTTGCATTGCTGTTTCTTCTGCCTAGAACACTTTAATCCTGGATATTCTCATGCCTCATTGCCTCACCTTTTTCAGATCTTTACCCAGATCCTGCCGTCTTAGTGAGATCTTCTCTGATCACACTGTTTAATAACCCCCTTCCCCAGCTCTCTGGATCCCTGTTCTCTTCTTTATTTTTCATTATAGCCCTTATTATATCAGCATACTTCATATTATACTTACTTTGTTTGTTGTCTGCTCTCACTCCTAGAATGTAAACTCTGAGGGTAAGGATTTCTTTTGTTTGCTTTACTCTTGTATCCTAAATATCTGGAATAGTTCCTAACTCATGCTAGGTATTCAGTAAATATTTGAATATGTCCGTATATAGAATTAAATACCCATTTTATTTATAATTTATATATGCTATTAAAATTTTAACATGGATCTGAAAATTTGAACTTATACATTATGTATACTCTCCATTACCATTTTATCTCTGTTAGTTATGGAATCTGGTTTTTGATGCCCTAGAATATCACAGTTGTTGACAGTTTACATATCTCCTTATTATTACTTTACCCCTTGAGGTCTGTAATAGGTTGTAGGCAGTGATTTATAAATGTCATGTTTTATATTTATCTCAGTTGCATGTAATTTCATATCTGTTATTTTTAATTATTTGTGAGAATAATAGGAGCATGAAATTATAGAAAGCCATCTGGACTGTGCCCTGCTCCCAGGGAGGCCATACAGGCAGGCAGTGCTCTACTTAATAGTTACGTTCCTAGAGTTTGTTTTTAAATTGGTTGTTTGGAGCATCAGACACAATTTCCCATTATTGTGAGTAGGTTTTAGTGGAGTCTGTGAAAAACCTAATTAATTTATTTAACTGCTTAGCTAATTTAAAACCAATAGAATTATCATTCATTCATGCTTGTATGCATTTTTTTTTCCATGCAGTTAAGTCACACTTAGGAACTAGGCTAGCCATTGTGCAGTCATTGATAAAATATACGCACATGGAGGGGTCCACAAGACAGTTGGGTATTGAATCTGAAATTTGATGGATTGGTGTAGACATTTGAAGTTCCTACTCTAATCGGTGCTGGTTAACAGCTTCAAAAGTAGAGTGAGAAGAGCAATGGGCTGAGGGCAGTGCTGTGGGCACACTGACAGTTAAGAGGGACCCATGAAGACCCATCAAAAGAAGAGTTGGATGGTATGAGGAGAACCAAGAGAGGCTGGTATGATGGAGTTTGAGGAATGGGGAGTGAGCAATACTGAGAAGTGTACTGAACAGAATCCACTAGATAAGAACTGAACAGTGTCCACTGGATGATCTGTCCAAGGGCAGATCATTTTTGACCTTGGCAAGAATAATGTCAAGGCTGATGTAGCTGTGAAGTAAAGAAGTAGACAAGATGGATAGCTTACTGTTCTGAGAAGTGTGGATGAAAGGCAAGAAAGAGTTTTTCCTATGACATGTTTAGTCAGAAACATTAAAGTTTGGCAGTTCCTTCTTGAGTGGCTTTCTTACCCTTCGTTGCTCTGTCTTTCCCAGTTGACTTCTGACACAAACCCAAGTCTGATCAGGGCTTAGCTGCGTGTCAGCTGTTGCTGGAATATGGGATTTTCTGAAGCTTGTAACTGGGAAGTAGTGATTGTATTGCCAAAAGTAGTTTGTTTTTTTTTAAAGTTAATTTAGGTTGGTAGTGTCTCATTTTTAACTCTTATTATTAATTCATAAAAAATTAACTCTTGTTTTGTGGTCTTCTTGTTTTAAGTAATTATTCAGTTTTATAAATTCCCAATAATACCCTTCTTTGTCCCCTATTACAGGGACGAGAAGGTGCAGAGATTGAACCTTGGGAGGATGCTGATTACCTTGTTTACAAAGTCACGGATAGATTTGGCTTTTTACAGTAAGTTGCATTGTTTGAAAGCTAACTTTTTTATTATAATGTTTCTATGGTGACCTATTATATTGATTTTCTTTATTTTTAATCGCAGAGCTGTGAATAAGATTCCAGGAGTAGTCCTGCAATGTGCTTTTTGTTATTAAATTCCTGGCATTTTTCGGGGCGCCTGGGTGGCTCAGTTGTTAAGCGTCTGCCTTCGGCTCAGGTCATGATCCCAGGGTCCTGGGATCGAGCCCC